CTATATAAATCAATGGTGCGACCTCATTTGGAATACTGTGTGCAATTCTGGTCACCACACCCGAAAAAGGATATTGTAGCTTTGGAAAAAGTGCAGAAAAGGGCAACTCGAATGATAAAAGGGTTGGAACACTTTCCCTATGAGGAAAGGTTAAAGCACTTAGGGCTCTTTAGCTTGGAGAAATGACAACTGAGGGGTGACATGATTGAGGTTTATAAGATTATGCATGGGAAAGAGCAGGTAGAGAAAGAGGTACTTTTCTCCCTTTTTCACAATACAAGAACTCATGGGCCTTAAATGAAATTGCTGAGAGGTCAGGTTAGAACGGATAAAAGGAAGTACTTCTTCACCCAAAGAGTGATTAACACTTGGAATTCACTGCCACAGGAAGTGGTGGCGGCTACAAGCATGGGCGGCTTCAAAAGGGAATTAGATAAGCATATGGAGCAGAGGTCCATCAGTGGCTATTAGCCACAAGGTATAGATAGGGACTCTGGGGCAAGTAATGCTCTGTCTTCTTGGTGCTTGGGGGGGGGGGCAACAGTGGGAGGGCTTCTAATGTCCTGGCCACACTGGTGGATCTCCTGATGGCACCTGGTATTTTTGGCCACTGTGTGACAGAGTGTTGGACTGGATGGGCTTTTGGCCTGATCCAACATTGGCGTCTCTTATGTTCTTATGTTCTTATAATTACTCACCAGAGTCACTCTCAGAGCCACTTTCAGAGTCACTGTTAGAACTGTCATCATCACCTTCACAAAATTAAAGCAAGAGTCAAAATAATATCCAAAAACCACCCAGTAATGTAATACCTCTTGTTAGGAGGACCAACCAAAGCATTATAAATTAGCAGTGCACAAATATTCCACATTCTTTGTCAGACTGGATGTTTAGTAAAGAAAAAAAACCAAAATGTGGGCGGGAGGAGAGAGAGAAATGTTTAAGGCATATTGGATAAACCCAAAGACTGTCTACAGTTTGTGAATTGTTAAAATGCAGAGCAGGAGACAACTTAGGTTACATGGTGGCAGATGCAAATCAGATTTCAAATTGCATCAGAAGTGCCTGGACACCCTTTGAAATTACATAAATTCTGATTTTGAAACTGCATAAGTTATAAAATAATATTCATAGTTTTAAAGTTAAATAAATAAATAAATAAACATGGTCCTTTGAACACAACTTTGCAAGAAATACCCTAGGGTCTTAAGATATGATAATCAACCCCTCAGCTAGAAAGTAACAAAAATCTGGCAGTGCAAAATTTAGAAATAACCAGGGGTATAGGCACACAGCAACAGCTTATTGCCCTGTCACTGTGCTTTGCAAATGAATTGCCTTGTACACACCAGAAAATCCAGTTGCATGCCATTGCTACAGCACAACATCCACTAATGTGTAGATGCAGCCTAAGACATTAAGTTTCAAAGTTAAAAATAATGTTACTCTTTGGATTACTTGGTAGCAGATTTCAACATCCATTTAAGAAACACATCTTTGAACCTTTATCCGTTAGCTAATATTTACCTGATTTATTCTCCAGAGTAGAATCTTCATCTTGAAAGTCACAATCCTCTGGAGAGGGTAAAAGTGTGTCATTCAGGAATTTTAACATTCAACATTTTTTTCTACTAAGAAGAGAACAAATGAACCTTAGAACAGAGAGTTGTAGGCCAGCTGTACAACCTATGTTTGATTGAGAATCATTATTTTCAGGCTTACAATTTGTAGTTCTGAACCCATCCCCAGCTCTAGATGTAAACAGTTATTACCAAAGGGTGCTCTTTTGCCAGTCACTATGTAATAGAACCAGCTAAAGGCACTCGTGATGACAACACAGAGTATGCTTATCACCATGCTAGCTCATCTGTGCGACCAAGTTCTCATGAAACTCCCTATCCACAAATATTTGCTTGGTGCCAAGCTGACTGATGTTTAGGTACCAGATGAAAACCCTTTTGGGTCTCTCTCTTTTTTTTACAGTGTTAATAGAAGTGTTTAATTTCTCTGAAATCTATCTGTACATTACTGAAAGAATTAGAAAAAAGGCATAACTGTAAATTTTAAAAAAAATAAGTAAATTATCGTATGACACTGTGTGTAGAATAGCCAGGAGATCCTATGATTGTCTGGCAGCCACAAGGTCTAGCTCCTAGCATTATGCTAGTGGTGAGCAAGACTTGTTTTTAGGGGCTGAGAGAGCTTTTAAAGAACTGTGACTGTCCCAAGGTCACCCAGCTGGCTTCATGTAGAGGAGTGGGGAATCAAACCCGATTCTCCAGATTAGAGTCCACCACTCTTAACCACTACACCAAACTGACTCTCTGGCATAATTGTAAAAAGAGTACATACTACATCTGCTAAAATACAAAAAAGTGCTATTCCACATTCAGTGTCAAAAGACACACTTAGGGTTGACCATATGGGACTTCTGTCCCATACTTGGTGGCCCTGTAGACATGCAGCTATTTTTAGGTCTATGTTCCTTTTAACTGATTTTCTAGTCAAATTTATTTTAAGCAGCTTTTAATTAACTGTATGTTATGCTTGTGTGCTGCAGATTGATTTCCTTCTTGATTGGGGTTATTTATAGTTGTATTTGTATTTTAATTGTTTTTACCTGTTTGTGGGGAATTGTTTCAACAGCAGAACTTTGAAACGGCAAGTATAAATTTCTGAAATAAATAATAATGACTAAGTCATGATGGACTGGCCAGATCTCCCCAGGGCTGGATCCATCTTTAGAGGGCACAGCACAAGCCCAATGGCAGCAACAGAGCTACAGGATTAGGTTGTCAAGCCCAACTAAACTAGTGTGGAAACCCTTGTTAGATACAGAGAGGATGTCTTAAGTGTGATACCTCTGCTTACATAAATAAGGATTTGTAACAGCATACCACAGAACTATCTGTTTGTAAGACAAACCACAAAAACAATGTTTGATAATATCACTAGAAAACCACACCTCATGTAAAGAAAAAAGCTTGTGAATATTTGGGAACTATCTAGCAAAGGCCTAGATGTAAAGAAGGGGACAGTATAGGGATGACACCTGGGCATACTTACTCATGATCAGGACACAGTAGTTTTAACACCCCCAATAGTTTCTACCCCATTGTTACTTCACTGATCCTACTTCTCTCAAATATGTACTCCAGTTTGAATGATTCAGCTCACACTATTTGACTTATCATTAGGTTCGTGTTACCCTGCTTTTCTATTATCCTCTCTGGAGACCTCTTTATTTTCATATTCTATTTAACCTTCAAAAGTCTTAATTCTGTTATTCC